CGGCCCACCTCCACCATGGCGTCCACCGAGCGCCGCCCCTCCTCGACGCGCGCCCATGCGGCCTCGAGCTCCGCTCGTTCCGCTCGCAAGGCCTCCACCTGGGCGCTGAATCCATCTAGCACCGCGGTGTTTGCGGCGGCCAAGGCTTGCAGAAGGGGCTCGGCACTCAGTGGGGCGGCAGAAGACGAGGAGAAGAGCCGCCTTGGAGAAAATGCGACGCGGCTCGGCCCGCCTGAAGACGCACTGAGCTCGGGGATGTCCCCCGGACCCGTTTGGTCCTGGGCGTCGCCCGAGGGAGTGGGCCCAGGCGATGCGCCCACGGCCTTGTCGCGAGCCGCCCCGGAGGTTGTCGCCTGAGCGTCACCCGAGGGAGTGGGCCCGAGCGACGCGCCGGCGGTCTTGTCGTGAACCGCCTCGGAAGACGCCATCGCCTCAGCCTGGCGAGCCCGGGCGGTTTCCTCCCGAGTGGCTTCTTCAGCCTGACGAGCCCGGGCGGCCTCCTCCCGAGCAGCTTCTTCGGCTTGGCGACCCCGGGCGGCCTCCTCCCGAGCGGTATCCTCCGCCTGCCGAACCCGAGCGGCCTCCCGGGCGGCCTCTTCAGCTTCCCGAAGGCGATCTGCGGCCTCTCGCCGGTCAGATTCTCGCCTCCGTTCCTCTGCGGCCGCCGGATCTTCGGCCTCGGATTGGCCGGACTTGGGATGGCGGGAGGAACGCGACGGGACATCGCTGAAGCAGAAGAAAAAAACCGGAAGACAAACAGGATGGATAAGAGAAAACTTGCTGATTGGGATAAAGGGAAGATGGTTGTGAAAGGCGTGAAACGAACCTGCGAGGGGGTCGGTTGAACGACCACCTTAGAGGGGAAATCAGGTTTCCCCGGGATGGTTCCGTCTCCCCCGTCTTGCGGAGCCGCTTCTTCTTGCGCTCCGTCTCGGGCCGTGATGTCGGCGCGGCCCCCTCCGGGCGCCTGCTGCTGGCACGCACCGCCCAGCCCCCTCGGGGAGGAGATGGGGGAGGTGTTCCTCCCTGTTTCCTCTTCCCCCGGGCGGCGGCAGGGCAGTTGCTCCCCGAGCCCCCGTCGCGGGGCCCAGAAGCACGGCCCCCTCCTGGGGTTGATTCTTCCTGGCGGCTCCCGCCGGCGCCATCGTGGCCCTTAGGAGCCACCTCCTCTGAGGCCCCGACCCCCATCATGATGGTCAGAATGGAGGCGCGGTCTGGATCGCAGCAGAGGGGGAGGAGTCCTTGAGGAATAAGAGACGCCTCCACGGAGCTGAGATTCAGCACCCTTTGGACCACGATCTTGAAGTCATCGGGAGCCCAATCCCATCTGACTCCCCGGTGGGTCCTCATGTAGTCCTCGGACCCGGCGTACTCCCATGCGCTCCGGGCGCGCCGCTGAAGCGGCGCAATCCGGCGACGGAGGTAGTCGCCGTACACCATGGCCCCTGTGAGCCCCTGAGATCGCAGGCCCGCCAGGCGGTCGAGGACGGCGTCATAGTCATCCCCCAGATCTACTGGCGCCCGCCAGCTGGAGACCGGCGCCGGGGGCTGGTTTGGGAGTCGGAGGCGCGCTTCGTTGGCAAGGGGGGTGTAGAACCAGTCGCTTTTCCAATCGTCCCACTTCTTGCGGAGGGCGCAGGGGATGTAGCGGTTCAACACCGGCCCCCGCGGCTGGAAGTAGCAACCACCGACCACCGACGGCGGCGACACCGACTGCACGGTGAAGAACCACCGGAACAGCCGAAGAGATGGGCGCACCCCAATGAACATCTCGCACAGGTGCGCGAAGATGGCCAAAGTCATCACTGCGTTGGGGGTGAGGTGCGCCATCTGGAGATCGTAGAACTCCAGAACATCCATAAAGAAAGAAGAAAAAGGAGGAACCAACCCGGCCATTGCGAAGGGGAGGAAGAAGATGGACCGCCCCGGGTAATCTGGTGCTGGGCGCGCCTCGCCCAGCATCACTATCTCCCGGCCGGTGGCGGATTCCGGCATGAAGCGGCGCGGCAGCCCAGCCTGCCTCTCGCTCACAATGCGGGAAGGTGGTAGTACGCTACCGTCGAGCAGAGCGGAGCCCCGTGCCATGTCGTCGGAGAAAGAGAGGGTTGAGAACGAGTGTGTGTGGCGAAGGTGAGGCGCAGCAAAGAGAGAGTTTAGGGCGCAAACGGCGAAGGAAAGGGGAATAGTGGCGAAAGGAAGGGAGCAAGTCCTTTCCTCGATGGCTTTATACCCTTGCCATCGCTGAGCCCGGCTCCTCGTTTCTCATGCCCACTATCTCGCTCCCTCGTTACTCGCTATCTCGCTCCCTCGTTTCTCGCGCCCACGCTTCCACTAATTCCATTCGCCCGCTTGTGGCGCATGAGGTGGATATGCGGTTGTGGCAGTCGAGATAGATCGTATCGTGTGTGCGTTAATTACGCTCGCCGACCGAAGCGACGTTACCATATCTCCAGACGAAACGAATCTGCACGCCCAGATTCGAGCGCTGCTCAAGTGATGTGGCAGTCTTGAAGAGACCGCCCATGACTGACGGCCAAGACACCGTTACCGATATGCGTGGTTTGAGACCGTTGGGTTTCTGCCCAATCACGGAGACCGGTCCCACCTGTCACCAGGCTTTATGAGTGGCGTCATGCCCGACCGCTTCCCTTGAGAAGGATGATTGCCCTGACATAACGCCGGGGGCTACTGTCGGTGATATGGGACCGGGAGTATTGCGCCCGGAGGCTTGAGGCAGATGGAATCGCCCACGTGGCTTGGCACCTTCGGGGACGTCGGGCCCGAGGGTGAGGTGTCCGCCCTCCTCCTGATTTCCCCGAGGGGGGGTCGGGTTGGTCCTGCCCCGGCCCCGAGGGCCGAGGTGCCCCGACCCCCTGTGGGGTTTGCACTATGTACATAGGTTGGGTGAGCACAGCAGGGCTCACCTAACCGCATTTATTGCGCCTCGGCTAAGCGTGTCACGCCGCACGAAGTGCAGTGCAGTGCACTCGATTATCCGGTCTGTGACCAGTCACAGACCGGTCAAATCGCGGGTTAGGTGGCGACAGGCGGTCTGACGCACGCTTTGCCCCATCCCGTCAAGATGTGAGCTTCTAGGCACTCGTCCCCAGCTGGAGCTAGCGTGTTACATCCCAGAGATGGCACGTTAGCCCCGATCGATATATACCAGGCTTCATCCTAACCATTACAGGCAAGATGTTGTGTGAAGAAGGGCAAACATGCACGTTGCTAAGCTGACGCGTGGTGGACAAGAATGACCGATTTGTGACCGGTCTGACACTGCTCATGTCGTCGGCACACAGCCACGTTCCCACGACGCGCCTGCCCCCGGCAGAAGTAGAGGTAGGTATGTGCCGTCCCATCAGAAGGACGTTCGGAAGGCAACCGTGCAAATCTCCGTCCATTTATGTAAAGAAGAAAAGTCCAGTTTGGAAAGAGAAGGGTGCATGTGGTATCCCCTTGAAGTATAAAAGGAGGACCTTGCCCATAGAAAGGGGATCTTTTGATTCTTTTCCAGATTGAGTGCCTAGAAGGAGGGAGAGGTCGGCTCACACTTTGTAGCTCCTTCATACACAGATCCACAAAAACACAGGAGTAGGGTATTACGCTTCTCAGCGGCCCGAACCTGTATACATCGCTTGTGTTTCATGTTCTCTTGAGAGGGAGCGATCTTGCCGTCATCTACAGAGAGAGCTTGAGATCTCACCCTGAGCCCCCGGCCGAACCGGCAAAGGGGGGCCTGCGCGGTCTCCCGGTGAGGGGCCACGAGCTCCGTCAACCTATTTTTAAAAAGTCAATTTCTATAAGTTCGATTAAATTTATAGAAAAAATGTAAAACTCTTATAAGATAAAAATAGTTTTGTTAAACCCAAGTGTGTTTATTCGGCATTAAACTTTTTTTATATTTTTATGTAATTTTGATCAAAATTTAAAGAAGTTATATAAAAGGTTAAATCGTATTATAATATAAGACGGTTAAAGTACGCACTCCTCCTAAAATAAGTTCATTTGTAGACTGATATTTGTTCCAAAATAACGTTATTTATAACCCTTTATCTATCCTGATCCATAAAGTAATATCCCTTGACTACAAACTCACAAATACTTGGTATAGTTGCTCGTATTTACAGCTAATTTTTTCAGTGCTAGACGATATATCCGTCCACAATGATATGTCAATTAGATATGTCATGCTAGTTTCTTAGAAGAGCTTATTAAAAAGATGGGGTGTTAGTGTGCACGTACATATGTAAACGCTGGCCGTGTTCCTTTTGGAAAGAGACGCTGATCTTTTTTCTCTTCAGGTCAATTTGAATCACGACGAGTAAAATTGAACTTATTTTGGGACAGGGCAGCAGCAGTGAGAACATGTTTTACGCTGGTTTTATGCCTTGACGCGCACGAGCGCACGCGTGGTTAATCCAGAAGAGAAGAACAAACTCATGCCGTTAGCTACCGGTGCCGGCCGCCTTGACGACAGCCAGCTACCGAGGGAAGAGGGAAGAGACCGCGTCCCCGCGTCGAGGGGCGACCCGTCACGCGTGCGTGCGTGCGTGCGTGCTCGCGTCGCCCTTGCCTTCTTCCCTTGCAAGGCAACTCAGACTACTAGTACTAGTACTAGCCACCCATCGAATCCAATTCCATAGCTCGCACTTTTTCTATTCTATAATCTACGCTATCTGTTCTAAAATAAATTTATTTAAAAGTTTATATATCTAATGTTTAATCATCCGTTTGATTTTAAAAAATATATAAAAAAAACTTTAAAAAGATAAGCTATGCATAAAATACTACGTATATTTTATTATCTAATAACAATAAAAATATTAATTATTAAATAGATTTAAATAAGATATGATGATTAAACGTTTGATATAGAATATACGGTGAAACCGAGGGTGTAGTAGTTTCTTGCTCCCCACTCCCGCGCCGCGTCACGTCACGCGTGAATCCACCATTCCCTTCCCTTTATAAACCTCAAACTCCAACCACCTTGTCTCACACACCACACCACACCAACATCGAGCGCGTCGAGTCGAATCCAATCCACTCCACTCCACCCCGCGATCTCCTCTCCTCTCGTCTCCGGCGAAGACGACGTGATGCCACCCAGCGCCGCCGCCGCAGCCGCGATGGCGCAGTCGCCGCGCAGCCTCCACACGCTGATCAGCTTCGGCCGCGGCGCCGACGGCGTCGACGACGATGAGGCCACGCCCGCGTCGGTCGACGTTGGTGACGCGGAGGGCGCCGGGCTCGACCTCGACTTCGCGTTCGCGCCGCCGGTGTCGGCGGCCGAGCTGGCGCCGGCCGACGACATCTTCGCGCACGGCCGCATCGTGCCGGCGTACCCGGTGTTCGACCGCAGCCTCCTCGACCTCTCGCCCGGCGACGCCTCCACGGCGGCGCCCTCCGCCGACACCTACTGCGCGTGGACGCCGCGCTCGGCGCCGGGCTCGCCCGGCCGCGACAGGTTCCCCAAGAGCGCGTCCACCGGCGGAGAGTCGTCGTCGTCATCGCGGCGCTGGCGCCTGCGCGACCTCGTCGGCGCCGGCGGCCGCTCCCGCAGCGACGGCAAGGACAAGTTCGCCTTCCTGCACCACCACGCCGCCGCGCCGCCATCATCCAAACTGAAGACTCCTCCTCCCCCTCAACAACCACAGCAGAAGAAGCAGAGCGCCGTGAAGACGAAGCCGGCGGCGAAGAAGGGCGTGGTCACCGAGATGGACATGGCCACCGCGCACAGGCTCTTCTACAGCAAGGCCAGCGCCGGCGGCGACCGGCGGCCGCAGCAAGCCTCGTACCTGACGTACCGACCGGCGTTCAGCGGCCTCTTCGCGCTCGGCCGGTCGCAACACCACACCGCCTATTAGTTTAATCACTTGGTCAATAACCAAACCAACTGATTACTAGTGGTAGTTGTTGTTAAATTAATTGTTTTGTTGTAAAAGTGTTCAAAATTTTCGGCGAAATTCGAGTCGAGATTTCTCGTTTGTACTAGAACCTTATCATGTACATAAATGGAAAAAGAGAGGAATGAAATTTGAGAGATGATTTTGTCTCAGAATCTGTCAAAGCATCAGCTGCTGGCTGCATACGCAATGTACTACTGGTACTATTAGCGATTATTTTTGTCACTTTGCTGAATTGTTTGTTAATCATGGTGGATCTGGTTTGGTTCGTGAGGTGGTGGATCAGACGAAATTTCGCGGCCGCGCACGAGGAAAAAGACCGGTCGACCATGGGAAACTTCCATTGAGCACAGGCATTTGCAGCCTATTCACACATGCGTAAATAGGAATACTCCACACCCCAGCGTATGCAAAAGCGCGTCCCTTATCTTTGAACAGCTTTTGGTTGCTAAATTAATCTGGATTTTGGTTACTAAATTAATCTGGAGATGTTAATCTACATGTGTTTGTTATCTCATCGGCCACAACCAAATTTTGAATTGCAAAATTCAATTTTAAGGTTGATCTGTGTTTTTTCATTCTAGTGCATGGTTGCCCATATTCCCTTAACTACAGCGGCGGATGCATCGCCCGACGACCTCGGGCAAGTCAGCGGATAATCCACTAAAATTCCATGTAATTAAGAAAAATTGAGATAGAATTCTGTAGTAAATACTAGCTATAGTAAGGTTAGCCGCTACTGCTTAATTAAGAATCCGAATAAAAATTAATTTGCATATATAACTTTTATATATGTATTCTTAATAAATAAAAAGTTAATGTTCAAAAGAAACTACGTGAGACATATCTTAAAACTAACTTTAAAATTAAATTTAAAAATTTAAATTTTGACTTTGACTTTGATTTAATAGGGCAACCAATGAGGCTGTAAGTATATCAGGTGGTTTAATTCTTTCGAAATCAAGAAAATTACGATCATGAATAAAAAAGATTAAATTTCCATTTATTAAATCCAAAACTATTCAAACCAAACGAACTTTAGCCGAACATGGTATTGACCGGACGGCGTGTGGTGTCTGGTGTGGCGTGACTATTCTCGAAGGGTGTATAAAACTAGTTCAATTTCCGGATTCCGGTCCTCTTCTCATGCTGCTGCTGGCTGCTGCATCTCTGTTGCGGCTGGGCTTTTGAAATACTCCCAATGAAGCAGTGGCGTCCGTATTGAAACAGTCAATTCCCTACTTTAAAAGTTGAATTGATCGAGCTTATACATAAGTTATCTTCTAGAAAGTGTGCTGTTTAAACAGGTTGGAGTTGGAGATAAGTTTCAAGTTTTAACTTTCTTCAGAGGGTTAGACTTGATCCAGATTCCTTTATGTTGCTGGGAGAAAACTCCTTCATGAACAGAGTCAACGGTCAACCTAAAAAGGTCAACCATTTCAGCTTCGAGAGAGATCAAGCAGGCCGGCCCATTAAATTTTCAAGGCCCATCACTAATTAAACAGAAAGGCCCACACGGCCCATCTAAACCTTGGACCTCCGCCTCTATAAACGCTTCAATTCTCTGTGCTCGCCTCACCTCCGCTAGGGTTCAATCGCCGCCGCCGCCGCCGCGGGCGTTGCCTGCATCTTGCGTTTGATTTTTTTTTCTTTTTCTGATTTGGATTCTGATCCGGTGCCGCGAGGAACAGGGATAGGCTGCTGGTCTGATTGATGTTTGCGTCGAATCAGCAAGCACGGTGATCTTGTTCGAATTTTTAGCCCCTTCGAATGATTTTTGTTTTTGTGGTTTTGGTGGATTGTGCCGTGATGATTGCTCGCTTATTTCTGACACCTCTTGTATGAGAAGTTGTTCTTTCCTCTTCCTTGGGGATGAGGAGGAGCACTTCGCTGAGCAGATTGTAGCAAATATATCTGAGCACACGCATCCTCGCTCATTAAAAAGATGAGATTATTTTTTGTTATGATTACTTTCTGTGATGAGTTTGTGTTAGGATTTTTGTGCTAAGATTAGTTTTTGTTAGACTAGCTACTTGCTGTGATGAGCATTTGCTTACTTCTGACACCTCTTGTATGAGAAGGGCCTCCCTTCCTTGAGCAGATTTAGCAACCCTCTGAGCTCCTCTTTTTTTTTCAGCTACTCTCAAACTCATTTGTAGCATTATTTTTCTGGAATCACCTGTCATTATTTGTAATGCGATACTATAACGTATTAACGTGTTCTAAATTTAGGCGTTTTGTTCGACATAGCTGTAGTGGAGTGTGTAATGTGGGGAACATACCATTGGTGAACATATTCTAGTACTTGTTATTGGTTTGTTATGTATACTTTGGTAGAGTAGGAGCAGCTGTGATGAGCATTGCTTTCTTCTGACACCTCTTGTATGAGAAGTGCTTCTCCCAGAGAAGCTCTTCGTTGAGCAGAGTATAGCAATTGTCTGAGCTCTCCTCATGCCATCTCTCATTTCTCACCTCTGAGCATCTCTTGTGCATTTATAGAAGAAAGTTTTGGGTACAAATTAAGAGGCTTGTTGTACACCTATAAATTCTTTAAGTGTTTGATTTGGTGTGTGCACTATGTATGATTTTCTCACCAAAATTTCTGTTCACTTTCACGAATATTGCTCTCAGCTAACATTTCAGATGGTTCAAGTTTGAACACCAAGGAGCATATGAATGGTCTATCTTGTCTTGGAGGGGTGCATAATCCATTGATCAGAAATGGGTCGATTTTAAGGAGTGGGTTTATGAACTTAACCTGCAAACAACTTACAACTGAATGTACTTGCTGCAATGTTGGTTCTCTTTCTTTTAATTTTTACAAAGCTGGCAGCAGCATTCTTGAGCTATATACTTCTGTATGTAAAGTTGTAAAAAGTTTGGAGAAAAAAACTAGCATTGGTGACACAAAACTATATAGCACAATTCATAGTGCACTTTGTCATGTACTCCACCATATGATGGTGTATCTGTTTATATTCTGCACTCAAGTTCAACTGCTTGTTCATGTGGTGCCTCCTGCTGCTGCTTGTGCAATTCCCTCTCGGCTTCCTTCTTCCTGAATGCTGTAGAGCTTATCTTGTTCCCTGTAGACTTCTCCGGCACCAGTTCCACCACTTCAATCTGCAGCATTGCAACAAAATAAAGTTATCACGCAATTGCAAATCTTTTATGTGCCAATAAAAAAAACCATTGATGGGAATTGTGACTGAACCTCAAGTTGTGCGAGGCCTCTCTCAGCTCTCTTCCTGTTGACAGCAAGCCCTCCTGGCAAAGTCTCCTTACTGCTCCAAGAGTTAAACACAGATAACATCAGCTTAAAAATGATTTTTTCCATGTATTGCTTACTCCTTATTGTCCACTGTTGAGGCGATGAATATTACATAGGAGTACCAGGTTTCAGTTGTAGGCAAACTATTGATCCTATTAAGACGATAATAGTAGTGTACCAAGTGACTGTAGGACAGAGAAGCCTAACCTGACGATGATTGCTTCTAAAGCTTCGTCAACAATGGAGGGGCCAAAGGGGTCCACGATTGGCTCGACATGAACTTCAAGATCAGGCTTGATGGACTGGAAATGGTAAGAGGCGATCATTGCCTAATAAATAGTACGGAGTACCAGATATGTAGCAAGATGACAAGATCCTTAAGATCACTAACGGAAGAATGGTCCAGACAATTGTCCTGAGTGAGTGATTGTTACCACATATTAACAGTTCGTGATCTCTGTTATTTGTAATACAAGAGTTACTAAAAATCTTGATAGTCCATTCGTGTGGACTTTTTACTGTACAAGAGTCGTTTCGAAGCATTTATTCGGTATAGTGGTAAACTGGTAACTTGCAACTGATATGTACAGCTACTTATATAGATAAGTTTGCACTTAAGTTTGTAAATCACCGTTTCAGGGCAATTCTACTTGAAATCTGGATTACGAACCTTGTGAAACCAATTAGGTCAGATAATATTAACAACTTCATATTCAGGACAGTTCGAGAATATTCAGAAACAGTTCGAGAATATTACTAGAATGGGAGGGTGATGGGCAATGTGTCGGTACCTTGATATACTCCTTAACATTTTCCATTCGCTTTTCGATTGGCTGTATCAGGTAAGCATACTGCAATAATGCAATACAAAAGAAGCATAAAAGATGTTCATCAGATGCATACATGTTTCAAAATTTAAGTTAGCGCACGTAAAATAAAAAAGCTATTAGTGTATTATTAATAAAGTTTTAATTATTACAAACTTGACAAATATATATATTTGATGTTTTAAATCAACTTCTACGTAGAAAGTTTTTACACGGAACGTACCGTTTAATAGTTTAAAAGACGTGCTAACGGAAGCGAGGTAAAATCTACTCCCTCCGTCCCAAAAAAAAACTCAACTTCTAGAGTTTAAATTTTGTCCCACAAAAAATCAACTTCTACCATCCTACCTACCACTAGAGTTTAAATTTTGTCCCACAAAAAATCAATTTCTACCATCCTACCTACCATCAGCACATAAAACGAGAGGTTTTATCACATAAATATCCTTTAACTACCTATTACTCTTACTACTTTTTTCAATAATTAAGGGCACTTTAGTTATTCCCACTCTCCACTAATTTTACATTGGGAAGTTAGGATTAGATTTTTTTGGAACGGAGGGAGTATATCTTATTGAGAAAAAGAGCAGACAAACATACACCATATGTCAACTTCAGAAATGTTTTCTTAACAGGGAATATGCAGTTTGAGGATCCGTCCACATTCAATGAACTTGTGTTCTGGTTGTTAGTCATAGTACGACGGTGTGCTGCTGCTACTACTACTGGACAACAGAATTGCTCACCTACTTATTAATTCCTGTCAAATGACGTGTTTAAGCCTTTGACACCGACCCCTTCCTGTGAGTGGTGCCGTCTCTCAGTGCACTGGAAACCAGGCTTAATACATTTGCTTATTGGTCGTTGGCAGTGTGTAAAAACACGACCGATTTTATTCTCTCATCTTCTTAATTTGCATCACGTTGATCAACAAAAGAATGGCTAACAATTTATTCTTTCATCTTCTTTGCATCACGCTGATCAGCAAAATAGTGGGTGACAATTTATTCCACTAGCAAAAGAATGGCCAACAATTTATTCTTTCATCTTCTTTGCATCACATTGATAAAGATGGCTATTGGCTGGTATCGAGTAGTAATATTCGATGAGGACAATTTAGCAAAGGAGGAAGTTGGTGCATGGTCAATAAAAGTGTCATGTAATGTAAACCACCATTAGTACTACGAGCTGCTAATTAGCATGCATGTATCAGATGGTTTAAGGTTGGGTTATGAGTTGAGATGTCTCACGTCTGAAACTTTAAAAAAAACTTTAAAAGTTTGATGCCGCTGTGGCATCAGATCAGCTGCAGAGACAGCAGCACCAGCCTCCTACCATAGTCCATGTCATGACAAAGAAAAGCCAGATCCCAAATGATGATTACTACCAGTAGAGTAATTAATGCTTAAGTAATTGCATGATTAGTTGATGGATCAGTTTAAGATTCGAGAGGAGTAGGAGTAGAAGTGGAAGAAATTTAGCGGTGCAGATACTGGCCTGTTTCTTGGCGAGCATAGGGCCGTCGCAGATGCCGATCACGATCCTCTCCCTCGCGAACTCCGCCGCCGCCTGTCAAAAAGACGGTAAAAATTCCAATCAACATTAATGCTTTCACATCGTCAAGCCAATGAGAAATCAAGAACAAGAAACAGCAAGATGAAGTTAACGAAGAGGCATCATCGTCAAGTCAATGAGAAATCAAGAACAACGACAGCAAGATGAAGTTAACGAAGAGGCGAAAGAATAATCAGAGTAATTAAGCCTTCCGAATCAATCCAATCAATAGAACACCATTCGTGGAATTTAGTACTATCTCGAGAGGAGAAGAAGAGAGCAGTTGCTGATTGATTAGTTTAACCTTGAGGAAGAGGTGGTGTCCCTGGTGCAGCCGATCGAAGGTGCCCCCGACGACGACGGCCGCGTACTGCCTCCCGCCGCTGCCGACATCGCCGCCGGCGTCGAGCTCGCAGGAGGCCGGATGATCACCGGCGCCGCCGCGCGGCGATGCTTCCACGAGCACCACCATGACGCGAGCGAGGGTCGCGTGGAAGGAATGGAGAGGAGTAGGGGGGGTAGGTTGCGCGCGTGGGGTGTGGAGGGGGAGAGAGAGCCCAAGCTGCGGCTAAAATACCAAAAATTGAAGAGACGATGCCTGCGTGCTGCAGTGCTGCGCTTGATTTGGGTCGTGTTGGTGGTGGTGACTTTGACCGGCAACCAGGGGGTTGGTGCAGTTGCAGGGTGCACCACTCTTAAGGCTATGGGCATGTTTACTTTATTGCAAAAAAAAAAAACTAAATTTTGTCAATGTCAAAATTTTGACATAGTTATAAAAGTTTTGGTAACTTGCCAAAATTTTGACAGTATTTCTTATATAGTTACCAAAATTTGGCAGCAAACTAAATGTAGCCACTTTTTTTTTTGTAACTTTTACTAAAATTTAGTAAGGTTGAAAATAGCATCAAAATAAATAGGCTCTATGTTTGGAGAGGTTAAGATTCGGATAAGCAGCGGGTGAGTAGTGAGAATTTCAAAACTGTTTCTTTCAAGATTCTATTTTCAGAATCTAAGTAAAAAGTAGACTGTTTAGGAAATTTCTGACAGCTGCAGTTTCTAGAAGAATCTTTAGATACTAAAAGTTTACCCTAAACAGGTCTTCATTGTCTCTGCTTATGGTTGCTAAAAGTTAACTTTTAAAATTCAATTATACGTTGGGAAAAAATTTAAAGTTTTTTTTATAATTTATTTTCACAAGTGATTTTTGAATCGCTAAGTACACTGATATAGAAGTTTAACTAATACTAATAACCATAAATTGTTTTTGGTTGCTTAGTGTTTTTTCTTTTACGGCTTATCAATTGTAGATCAAACCGTCAGAGAATAATTGGCATTGCTACTGTGGGACCTTATATTGGACTGTACATGCTTGTACTTGTGCACATTCAGTGATATCACTTCTATAGTAATCGAGTTGCGAAAAAAAAAGGTCTTCCAAACTGACCCATAGTAATCAAGCTAATTCTCAGGGTATAGTACCTAAAATACATTCAGAATTATTTTGTCTAATCATATGTATGAACGAGAGTACATACTTTTGTGTATACCTAACCGACCCAAAATTAGAGTTTTGCACTTGCGCGCACATCAAGAAATCGAGTCGAACAATAAGCTTACAAGACAATTGTTACTGTACTCACAACATGATTAAGGCGAGAAAGAATATTAACAACTCACAAGCACGGCGTGACAGAGACTAGGAGTATCACAACAACAGGCTGTTCCCATCTTGGATGGAACTAGAATACACAGGCTCATGCCATTGTCACTAGACAAGTACAATTGAATAAAACTTGAGGCGATCTGAAAATCGCCAACAGATTACGCTGCAACTAGTGTCTAACTGTCTAAGGCTATCGAAGCAAATAACAGCAGAAATTCGTGGCTCCAATGTGCATCTAAGAGTTCAGCTTTCAGCGTCACTTTTCAAGATTTCATATTTTTCATGAACGAGTACACATCATTTCAGGAACTCTAATGGGTAAATATTCCATGATTCATATACCTCTCAAGGTAATAGAGCAATACCTATGTCTCGAAAGAATACCTGTTGGTCAAAAACTGGTCATACTCTAGCTATGGAGCAAATCTTCAGGAACTCGTCGATCTTTGCTGCGTAGACATGAGGGAAGCTCCTGTAGTGGTCCACATGTGGCGATGACACAAAATTGTGGGCGAATACGCTCTGCCCTAGGGATTTCTGCATGTCGATGAAGCGCTCGACGCATTCAGCAGGTATTACTCGATCTGCTGAGCTGTACAGATAAAACTGGGGGCAGGTAGGCTGCTTCTCTGAAAGAACCGAGTGAACCTTTTCTAGCCTCCTGAACATCATGACGATCGGAGAGAAAAAAATGTCAGGTAACAGAAAGAGCCATCAGGTGAATCTCTATCACTCTATGGTATGATTTGGGAATAACTGATCATGCTGAATCTATGGAACAGAAATAACGTAAATAAGTCATGTTTGGAGAAAACTGGAGGAGAAGTTACCTAAGTCTGACTAAATAAACTGTAGTCACTCACAGTAATTATGAGCTGTACAATGAACCATCATGATTTGCTTTGCCAAAATTACATAATTAATGCATTGCAAACATGACACGTTGAAAGGTCCATTTGATCTACTGTGCAAATCAACTGAAAGTGAAATTCAGTGTCTAACTGCCCATAGACATGGTATAATACTTTTTTTTTGCGGGTGCAATGAAAGAAAACAACAATGTATTTATGCATCGAGCCCAGTAACCTAAAGTTCAGTCCACATGGAGAAATATAATGAAAAGAGGCACCCATGCATACTGCTGCTCTTCTGTTAAATTGAATATGCTACGAAATTCTTTTATGAATGTTGCGACCTTCCAATCACAAAGAGGACGTCAGTAAGCCTTTTAGAGACAGAAGATGGCATAGGGCAAGTCCTAGATTATATGTTCATCAGGAGTTTTGTTAATTTACGTACTCAGCAAGATTAGTCAGCAACATCAGGAGAGTCCATGATAGAATTTGTAGGTTATAAAACTTGGTTAGGAAAAGAGTCCAGGTTGGAGCAGTAGCTGCCAAGTCAACTAGGCATATGCCCTTCCCTATAAAAGGGACCAAATGACCATTCAATAAATCTTTAGGGCAACTGAGCAAGCAAGAGATAAATCAATATCTCCAAAATCTTTTCTCAACCCTGTCTCTCTTTTTTATACCCCCACTACTCTTCCATTTGCTAAATATGACACCTACTCATTGAGGGCAGTCAACCTACAATCTTCATAGAAAAGGTGCCTAAAACAATGAGTTTTGCATGGCAGTGTGAATGAAGTAGTAATTGAAGTATACAGCATTGTTTAATTCCAATCTATAAAACCCAAGTTAACTTCTGAGTACAACGGTGTGAGCTGTCCATGCTTCAAAACACGTAACCAGAACTGATTGAACATGGTAAGGACTTACTTGTTTACATCAGGTAGATGAAGGACAATCTCGAAGAATTTCTGTAGAGTAGATAGAAGAATATTTTCACCCCATGTTGGTCTCGTCACATCAGAGCTAAGGTTGTTCAAGGTGCCATTTGAAGTATATCCATCAGGAGATTCAACTGAAGGTCCTGTCATGGAACTGCTTTTCTTCAACATGGCAGCAGAGAATCCAGCAGCCCAGACCTGAGTTAAGTTTATATATGAGCTTCCTGGTAAACAGATTTGTTTGCATAGGGAAACTTCCAGATAATAGCACAAACCATTCTAGCTATAGTAATAGGATCTTACGACAGTTCAAGATGAAAAAACAAATCCAACATACTAAAATGTATTTGAACAAGAATTTACTGCTACCAGTTAAAAGCTTATTTCAGGTATATGTAATGCAGCAAAAAGATAGTGTCCAGACCTCTGGTCTTATCTCCAGAACTGGTGCAGAATCTACAATGCATCCCCGTATCCTCTCAATTATATCAGCTCTTGATTGTAGATTCTCAAGTATAGCACCATATCTGGAAAGAAATTTGATAGCGAAGTTCTCATATATAGCCATGTGAATGGCATGACCACAGATCACCGAATTATCAAATAAAACCTCCACTAGGGGATTTCTGACTTCTAGGCAAGGCAGAAATGGAAAATTATCTTTCACTGCACCACAAGAAATTTCCACTAGAAACTATTAGAAAAACAAAACACACCATGTTTTTTCAATTAGGTAGTCCTTAACAACAGCAGCCATATCAACCATGAATGTGATTCACCTATATGAGACTGTCAGTGACTGGACGCCGTTGCTAGTGATTCTCATTATGAGGTAAAAATGCCTGAAAAAAATATTTTACCATGGTACTAATCTAGCACAATCAAGGTGGCCTAACAACTCCACATAGATCATGCTGTTATCCACGCTGTTTACTCAATCTATGCACTCACAAATGGATATCTGTTGTGCTCTTCAACCGATCACCTTTGCTAAGTTCTTATCGCACTCCATTTCTCATTATCTTGACCATTGGAATATCATGGAGTAGCTCCATTATCCACAGTATACTCTAGACAGAAGATGACGAGCTTTCCCAGAACATGCTGTCCAAACCATTTGGATTTCTTTCGTACCTCTATCAACCACGTTTTTATCAACCAAACCTATGCAACAACCAATGTGTCACAGCATAAACATGCATGTGCGTGTATCAATTCTATCCTGCCGCAAAGATGCAACACATTGCCCAATTTAATTGAGGCCGTGCAATCGCATGTGCAAACCATGCGCATGTAATAATTCCAACCTATCAACTTCTTGTCCGGTTTGAAACACTTCAATTTCAACCATCCGGTGTTCAGGGAAGAACAGTAATAGCACATTATTGGGAGAAGCGAGTAAATAACGAAAAATGAAGGTTTTATTTCCGTACGCGAGCCATCCGGTGTTGCTGAACGTGTGGAAGAGGAGCGTGCGCCGGTGGTCGGCGTCGCACCAGGCGGCGATCTCGGCGGCGAGGTCGGCGACCCTGCGCTCGACGCGGCGGCCGAGGTCGAGCCCGAGGAGCTCCCGCACGGGCACCACGAACCGCACCGACCCGACCCCGCGGTCGCGGTAGAGGTCGGCGTACCTCCGCAGGTGCTTCTGCCGCGCGCCGAGCCACCCGAGGAGCACGACCAGCGTGAGGTCCCCGGGCGCCTCGCGGCCGGCGGCGCCGGCGCCGAGCGGCGAGGCGGCGTCGGGAGGGGGAGGGTCCCACTGTATGAAGGGATCGGAGTCGGGAGGGAAGAGGTTGAAGGGGGCGGAGGCGCCGTGCGGGGAGCCCGAGGGGAGGGAGATGGAGGTGGAGGAGAAGGAGATGCCAGCGCGGCCGCGGAGGGACGGGCGGTGGTGCGGGTTGGGAGGGAATGAGAGGGAGGAGGAGACGGTAGGAGCATGGCGGAAGGTGGTGGCGGCACGGCCGCGCGCTGCGGCGGCGAGGAGGCGGGCGGAGGAGGCCGCCATGGATGCGGGAGCGTGGAGAGTGGAGACGAGGTGGTGGTGATTGGGAAGAAAGAGAACTAGGCGAGCTCTCGTTTTTATGACGTGTCCTTATGATTTGGGAAGTACTAAAACTCCACTGACGTCTCGGGGCCACGGCGTGTGACGGTGGGCCAGGGTTGTCAGTGTCAGTGTTTTTCACTCCAAAATTTGCTGAATGCTTGTGTATCAGTATATTTTTTTTCAGAATCAAAATGGACCTAAATTCACATTAAAATCGACCTAAATTGCATAGTTATGTCATTTATAAGCACGAAGAGCAAACAGCTATGACATCAAGGATATTGCATGTGTTGAGTACTTGTGTAGCAGCAGCCAGCAAGCCCGTAGTACAGTGATGTGCGCCTTTTCTACAACAAAGGCGTCTGATTACTCGAGCAGATGTAAATTATTAGCGAAATGAATTTACTACAGCAGCACACAATGACGTCTGCTCACTTCTGCTTAAGATTTGCCCCCGTAAAAAAAAAAGATTTGAAGTGGGTTAAATTTAAACTGGGACGAAGGGCATCGACGCATCGTCCTACCAAGCCGCATTTAAAACGAAGAGAATTTACAACAGCAGCTTCATGCGCATTGGTACATCAAACGGACGTGCAGCTAGCAGCGATTGCTAGCACAGAGCCCTAACCATGTGAACATTAAACATTCCAAGCATCAGAATGGCATCAGAACGAATGATAAGCAAACGTAATCTGGTCCCCGAAACCAAAGAGATTTTCTGTCCGCATCACATGTAAATAATCGGTCCAAAACACAATCGATGTTGATCAAAGAGACCGTCGCAAAGTTGTAGTACTGAAGAAAGGGTACACAACAGTCACAGCTTTCTAAAACAGTAGTCTTTTGGAAACTCAGACACGGTGTAAGGGAGGAGATAAGATGTATCTTGGGCCTAGATGTCCATGGGCGCGGCGTCCGTGCCCTTGTCCTCCTCCTGCATCGAGCTCGACTCAGCCTCTGCCGCTGGTGCCTCCTCGGCAGCCTCCATGGAATCGATTATTTCTTGGATCCTCTTCACGTCGATCATCTCAAATGGCTCAACGGTGCCATCGTCCTTTCTGCCAACAATAGCAACGGTGCAGTTGGAGCTGGTTAGCTTCTCACCTTGCAGCGTCTCCTTTATGGCGGAGAGGGCATCTTTGATAAGTTGCTCTGGGGTGTAGTCGTTGTAGCCCTCGAATCTGCGCTCAAGGAAAGTCTTGGCGGCTTGAGAGCGAGAGCCAATAGCAAATGCCTGGTACTCAAAATAGTTGCCGCTGGGGCAGTTATAGTATAGATGGGCTCCAGACTCATCTAATCCAGCAACAAGGAGGCCAACACCATATGGCCTCTTCCATGATCGCTGTGTGCAAACCTGCAACACCATCAAAGAAACAGACATTATCCACAGGAACGTGGTGGGACAAATGGTAATTCCGAAAATATACATATCTGGCTGAAATCATTTATAATACAGCCAGCAACCACATCAATCGTTTACAACTAACAACCACATCAGCATAAGGTGAACAGGTTCAATTAAAACAGTTGCAGAGTAGAATCACGAAAGCAAAAGTAAACTTGATGGCCATGGGGAAATAGATGCAGCTTATCCGATGAACTGCTCCCCAGAATAGGCACACTACGGAAATAAAGGTGCACGCTCAAGTATGATGGCAATCGAAGGGGAGAATGAAGCAATAGCTGCTACAGAAAAAGTGACGTTGAGATGATGCAGATGCGCACTGAGCACAGCTTGAAAACTGATGCTGTAAGCAACAACTACACTCTAAATCAATGATAAGGTAATGGATTAAGATTAACAGATTAATTGTCATGCTGGAGATAACAGGAAACAAAGCTAGATGTACAAGAACATGAGAATGCAATTGATGTATGGCGTTTTTTCCAAGTTATAGTAGCCAGGCAAGAAAAAGAAACCTCCACTGATAGCTTTGCAATCTTTAATATCTGAAAAACGATTTTCCAGATTCAACAAAAATAAAATATATGCATGAAAGAAGGTAGCATACTAAAAAGCAATGAAATCACAATGCACATGGAGAGTCATAGATTATAGCTTGTTAATGTACTAAATCTGAGTAGCTATTCACAACGCAGAGATGCTTTTCCCTAAAAAATACCTTCTAATTTTCAAACATGTTTACAATGATGCAGATAATCATCAACTCATGGAGCAGACTTACAAAATCCATCTGCGTTCTCATGGTTTGACAGTTGAATCATGCTGTGCTGGTTTGCTTCCAAACTGCATATGCTAACCCGTCTAGATATTTATAAATCTAACTGGTGCAGTGAGAGATCAAGTCAAAGACATCTTAAAGCAGCAATTTCAAGTTTGCAACAGTGAATACTTTTATTATCTATAACCATACATTTTTTTTCTGAAGACGACAACACAATCTAATTCCCTAGTAGCTTCCATCCATCCATATGGACATTAAAGGAGAAGGCTTGCAGAAATTTAAAAATAAAAGAAATCAAGCTGATAAACAGGTGCACCAAATTGAAAATTGTTGTCTTATTAGGAAAATGCCTCAACGAGTGTCTGAGCATACCAAAATCTCATGTTACACCATGAAACAAATAATTTGATCACTAGAAGCAACACATAAACACATGTATAATACAAACTTAAACTCAACATTTGGGATTACAGGAAATGTTCCATATAATGACTATAATAAATGATTAAAAACGTGACAAATAAATGCTAGCTCTCGCTTGTTTCCAGTAAACTGCAAATAACTCAGTCAATGTGCTACTCGATTATATCTAAAAGGAACAAGGTGTCAAGGTCAATACGGTCTTTCACTACTATGTATGTATGTTTCACTAGATTTTTTGGTGATTTATAAGTGTTATGTTATGAAACTATCTAGGTATGTTGCATAATATCACAGCCTTTTGCTGTGTGCATGAATTGATGCAGGATAAAATAGTCAGAACCATACAATGAAGAAGCACATATGTCAACTATTAAAAGATAATTACTCCATATGTTTTTTGATCATATACTCGTATCCTATCAGATTGTGCATCTTAACAAGCGGAGATCCAAGAGTGTGCATTTCGCTTGCAAAGTCTACTACTACAGCGCTTACACATATTTGTCTAGCTGATGCCAATAGTTAAATAAAAGGGCAGGTAAACCTGGATTCGCGACCATCTTTACACACCATCCTCGGCTGAAATCACATCGGCATGTCAAGTATGATATGAAGATGGCAACTTAATTTTGTACTGTTCTTTTAAGAAGAAGCTGGGGAGTGAGACTCATCAGGAGATCTTTGTACTGAATTTCTAATTTTCAGTAGTGCTGCAAACTTCTACATGCCAACAGATGTAATCCAATCGCCTAAGCACAATCACCTAAGCACTGATACTCCTAAATTGCAATCATAAATAGGCGCCACTAGCCAATCCATCAAATCAGTTGTCGATCATCGAAGCACGCGCTCCCAGCGATACCTGCCATCGTAACCCTAATCAACAACCAAAATCCCGGCCGGGGAAACACCCCAAGCACGAAACCCCAGTTAGCGCTTTAGATCTGATCCCCCTACCACGAAACCCTAAGTACACGAGCAGATCAAGCAATCCAGCAGCAGGACCAACCGCACCCGAAGAGATCAAGTGGGGGAGAGAGGGGAGAAGAGGGAAAGGGGGGGAGATTGGGAACCGAGACGGACCTGCGCCTTGTCGGCAAGGCGGAGCGCGAGCCTGGAGACGGGGAGGGGCGCGTCGTAGACGAAGGCGTGGTTGATGCACTCGGAGCGGAGGAATCGGGAGAGGACGCGGCCGTCGGCGGTGAGGCCGGCGAGCGCGACCCCGGCGTGGTCTGCGACGCGGAAGACCTTCCGCTGGTGGGAGGAGAGCTCGGAGGCGGCCTTGTTCGCGGCGGCGAGGACGGCGTGGGTGCGGGAGCGGAGGCCGACGCAGGCGGAGCCCTGCTTCACGGCCTCCATGGCGTACTCCACCTGGAACAGCCGCCCCGCCGGGCTCCACGTCGTCACGTCGGTGTCGTACTGGTTCCGGAACATTCTCGAAGCTTCCTTCTCCTCCTCCTCGTCCTCGCCTTGGATTTCTCTCTCGCGCGATTCGGTGGGGATTCGAAGATTGTGTAGGGTTTGGGCGGCTTGCGATGTGTATGCGTGTGCCCTGCTTTTGTTGGGTTGGTTTGCGGTGGTGTTCTTCTTGGACTCCAAGATGGGGAGGAGGAGGAGGATGGTGGAGGGTTTCTGCGGGGCCCACACGTCAGTGAGAGTGTTTATGCGGGGTCCACCCGTCAGTGAGAGTGGTGAGGCAGCGCATGTGGGGTCCACTTGTGACTTGTTTTCCTTTCCTCCTTGGCAAGGCAAAAATGTTTTGGGCCGATTTCTGTGGAAGCAAATTGGGCTTTGGCCCAGGAAAGGCGCAGTAGCGTGTATTCGGAAGAGACGGGAGTAGCTATACAATATTCTAAAAATATTTTCTTCCTTATATTTGAAAGTATTTTCTGAAGATATATCAGTTTCGATAAAAAAAATACCCGAAAAAGTTTCTATAAAAACTAAACCCCTAAATAATGAAATGCATGTCAAACATATAAATGATCTATGTTGTTTTTTTTAATCCGTCTATTATTTAGAAAAAACAGATAAATAATATGTAGTTATATTTTAGAATAGATAAAACAAAAAAATATTTATGTTATTTATAGGTACGTGTGCGGTAAAGAAAAAAATGGTAATACGAACTAGTACTGGCTCCGTTTTAAAATACAAGAGAATTGAAGTATAATATTTTAGGCTATGAATTGATGTTATTGTTAGGGAAAACACAATATGACCATAAGAAAATGTCATAGGGGCAATACAGTGTACGTTGTGAATAGAAACCACACAACAGTAATTGCAAAAAAGAAAGCTTTAAGCTTATAGCTTGACCACAAGCAAAAAGAATAATAGGGTAAAATAGATGTGAGGAGAAAAAATTGGCATGGTTGATAAAAAAGTACTACTAGGATTTTGCACTAGTGTGGTACATCTTAATATCTACTCTTATTTTAAACATTATAATAATAACCATAAAAATAATGAGATATATATTAATGATACCAATTACTAAGACCTTATTTAGTTGGAAAAAAATTTTGGGTTTAGTTATTACATCGAATATATGTACCTACATTTAAAGTATTAAATGTAGTATAATAACAAAATAAATTATAAATTTTGCCAAGAAACTGCGAGACGAATTTATTAAGTCTAATTAATCCGTCATTTGCAAATGTTTACTGTAACACCACATTATCAAATCATAACGCAGTTACTTAAAAGATTCGTCTCGCAATTTACACACAATCTGAGTAATTGATTTTTTTTATTACATTTAATACTTTATATATTGTTCAAATATTCAACGTGACAGCGTGAAATTTTTTATTTTGGGAAATGTGATGTGATGTGACTAAACAGGCAACAGATGGGCCGTGTGACGTGGGCCGCCGAACGAAACGACGTCTATTTAACCCTCATCTCCTACCCCCACGGCAACTGCTCCCTCCTCTCGCGCGCTCGCTCGCTCGCTCGCCGTCGCCGGGGAGTGTCTTCTTCAGTTATTCGTCCTCCTCCCGGTTCGGGATCGATTCCGGCCCGGTCTCCCCCCCATTCCGACGAGGTGATTTTGATTCTTCCTCCCCTCTTGCTCGGTGGTGGAGTTCGTTTCATCTGGGGTTTCCGGATTTGCTCGCCAGCGGTCGCGGTTGGGGAGGCGGAGTCCAGGGTTTGTCCCCCCATTCCCCTGCTAGGGTTTTTGGGTGGTTCGCCAGGTGATTTCCATGAGCGCGGGTTGGGTAGTGTACACTAGTGTTTGTTTGCTTCGAGCTGTGACTCTCACGCGTTGGTCTTTTCGTCTCGGCCTCGTGCCTACCGAGGTTGCCACTTGTTAGGATCGAGATACTCGGTAGAATCGTTTCTTTTTTTTTTATGATATATTGATCGTAGGATTGGGATTGGGATCCTATCAGATTTTATATAAGTGTATATTAAAATATAAGATTTGTAATACATTGCAAAAATTAAAGCTTGTGTCCGTTGTGTTGTATGTATCACACCTCAATCTTAATTCAACGATACACAAATCCAATGCTTATTTCTGAAAAAAATATTAAAGCTTATAATATTGATTTTGATAAATTTAATCGACTTCTTTAGAAACTTGTGTGGACTTACTCACATTATTTTTAACCCACCTTGATTTTAAATAATCCTTATGTAGGATCGGGATCCTACGTAAGCTCTACCGTTACCAAGGGATCGTATGGAACTCTTATTTAGGATTGGGATACTACGAAAGTTGGCTTAGGACCATTTTGGTTTGGTAGGATCGTAGTATTGTACGGATTGGGATCTTTAGACCCTTTCTTTTTGAAGGAATGGATAACTGAATTAATGGGCATGCTTTCCGAACTTCTAAATGGTCCTTTTTTTCTGAAACAATTCTATATATGAATGTCATAGAATATTGTTTTAAGTCCGTCTTTCAACTTTATAATAATAGTTAATTTTTTCGTTTGTACAATAGAATAATTATCACAAATCATTCATTCGACCATTCAGCACAAAAGATCAATTTCCACTGTGTGCATATGCATGCTTGCTGCCATGTATGGAGATTTAGTTCGTCTAGATGGAGCCTACCGATTTGCCCTTCATTTTGTAGGATTTCATGGTGACCGTTTGATCCCTCCCTGTCTCAACCATGTATATAAAGAAGGTATGTTCTGCTGTTCTGATTTTGATGACATGTTGGTCCGTGTCGACTCAGAAGCTGTCTGTCTGTGCAGGTTGTGGTAGAAGGATTTAAGAGCTACAGGGAGGAGATCTCAACAGAACCTTTCAGCCCAAAAGTTAATGTCGTTGGTAATTTCTTCCTCCCCATCTAACCAACATGTCCATGAGTTTTTGCCAGCTTGTGCATGGCTAGTTTAAGGCGCTGTTCGGATTGTCCTGCAGTTTCCTGCACTTGCCTTGTTTTCTTGGGGGTGCAGGGGAGATAATTGCAATATTTGATGACTATAGTAATCTTTGTATGCGTTAATTGTATACAAACTAACATAAATCTGCATGTTTATCACAGTCGGTGCAAATGGATCTGGCAAATCAAACTTCTTCCATGGTAATATTTTTTAGATATGTGATGTTGCTAGCTAGTAGGTTATTATTCTTATGCTTATGTGATACTTTTCTCCTAACTTGGGCATTCTAATGCTCCAGCTATACGGTTTGTCCTTAGTGACATGTTTCAGAACCTGCGCAGTGAAGACAGGGGAGCCCTTCTTCATGTACGCATCCTCTCTCTTTGATTTAGTTGAGATAGGTGTTTGCTATTTGATAACAATAACCATTTCAGGAAGGTGCTGACATCTCAGTTCTTTCGGCTTTCGTTGAGATAGTGTTTGATAATTCAGACAACCGTATTCCAGTAAGTCCTCTAATATTTTTTTTTACCGGGAGTAGGTCCTCTAATTCGTTGATCAAAATTCATTTGATTTAAATTATCTAGCTCTCCAGATGCACATTCTATTTATGAAAATGCATCAACAACTATGAGATCTTTCATGTGAGTGCATGCTATTCATCTTCAAGCTGAAAAAAGAGGACCTACAGCCTCTTGTTGACAAGGTTGCCCGATGGCTGCCCACATGGAAATCTAATCAGATGTCGTCGATCGGTCGTGTAACCATGGTCAATGCTGTCTTGAGCGCCATACCAATCTATCTATTGGTCGCAATTGATGCACCCAAGTGGGTGATCAAAGGTATTGATAAGGTACGGCGTGGTTTTCTTTGGGCGGGTAAGGCGCAAGTGAATGGTGGATGCTGCCGGGTAGCCTGGACCAAAGTATGCTCCCCCAAGGATTATGGAGGTCTTGGTGTGCCAAACTTGAAGCTCATGGGCATTGCACTACGTTCCCGCTGGACGTGGATGCAAAGGACCTCTCTGACCAAGCCTTGGCAGGGATTGGAAATCCCTTGCTCACAGAAAGAACTTCACCTTGTCGCCGCCTCCACCGTCTGTCAGCTAGGTAACGGGCAAACAATCCTTTTCTGGGAGGACAATTGGTTGCAAGGAGGAACCATCCGAGCTATTGCACTCTCCATCTACGATCATGTCTCTACTCGTATTCGGAAGCGCCGGACGGTGGCTGAAGCGTTGTCTAACCGTAGATGGATCAAGGACATAAGTGGCGCGCTTGGGACTCAGGCAATACTCGAATACCTCAAACTTTGGTCGCTGATTCAGTCAGTTGATTGTTCTTCCGCAGAGCCCGACTCACTCTCCTGGAAGTGGGAAAGCTCAGGCAAATACACTTCAAAATCTGCCTACCGAGCTTTGTTCCTTGGGTGAATTGCCTTTGAATCCACGCCGATCTGGAACTCGTTGGCCCCACCTCGCTGTCGTTTCTTCCTCTGGCTGGTCGCGTTGAACAGATGCTGGACAGCCGACCGACTGCGGAGTCGGGGATTGCCGCATCCCGACCGCTGCATTCTCTGTGATCAGCAAGATGAGAGCATTGATCATATCCTAGTCGGCTGCCCAGAATCAAGGCAGCTTTGGTGGTGGACTTTGAGAGCAATCGGCCACCCCAACTGCCTGCCAGTGAATGAAGCTTCTTTTCACCAATGGATGTGCGATAGCAGAATGGTGCTAAGTGAGTCACATCGTCGAGGCTTCGACACGGTGGTGACATTGGTAGCATGGACAATATGGAAGGAACGGAACGGTCGGATCTTCAATCAGCAGTGTAGATCTTGGGTGGATGTGGCTAGAGGGATGGTGGACGAAGCCTCTCTTTGGCATAAAGCAAACCCGACGATCCCTGCGCTGCAATTCAGGAGGGAGTTTGGTCGCCAAAATCAGCGCGAGAGATAGACCTAGGATTGTCTGTTATTGTCCTGTATCAGTCCCGTGCTGTTTTTCTCTTTCAAATGTAAATAACTTTTATTTCTCTTAATGGAAAAAATGCGCTCCTTGCGTATTCCCGAAAAATGTGAGTGCATGCTATTCAGTCATGTTATGAATTCTTGACGGTGAACACCAGCTGGAGGAAAGCTGGGCATCATCGGCTGCTAGGGATGATAAGGGAACTTAGACTGCGGTAAAGATCATTGGAGAGAGACTAGAGATTAGTCTTTATCATTGTGTAATTGAAAATGGATAGATATGCCACTCTTTTATAGGGATGACCTGACATGATACCTAAGAAACTGACTTTATCTCTAATGCATAGGATATATCTATAAAGAGGGATCCCAACTATTAAGGAAACTAATAAGTTGCTTTGTAGGTGATCATGCAAGGTAGTCAACAGTGTACTGCTAGTTATTTATCAGCATATTTCAGCAAGAACTGTGTATTAGGTGCCTTTTGCTTTGCTGAACAATGTATGGCATGTTATTCATGCTCCTGATTGTGAGTGAAAGAAAAAAAACTACTTTGCTCTAGGTCGAGAAAAAGGTGGTACGCTTGCGCAGGACAGTAGCTTCAAAGAAGGATGAATACTACTTGGATGGGAAGCATATCAGGTATTTCATAAACCCCTAAACAGGCCAACCATGTTACAGCAGTGTTGCTTGCTTGTACCCCCTTTTAATTCTATGTTGTTCAGTAAAACTGAAGTCATGAATCTGTTAGAGAATGCTGGATTTTCTCGCTCAAATCCATATTACGTTGTCCAGCAGGGAAAGGTAATATTTTTTCACCTGATTGTTGCCATGTGCTGTTCAGCTATAATGTAATGAAAATTGTTATGAGTAGATTGCAGCCCTTACCCTAATGAAAGATTCTGAACGACTGGAACTCCTGAAAGAGATCGGTGGTACGCGCGTTTATGAAGATAGACGGCGACAGAGTTTGAAAATCATGCAGGAAACAGGCATGTTTAAGTTATCATAAATGTTTATATATTTGTAGGGGACCTCTTGTAAGTGGACATTGATTCATGATTTATTAGCAGCCAACAAAAGAAAGCAGATTGATCAAGTTGTCCACTACTTGGAGGAAAGGTTGAGAGAACTTGATGAAGAGAAAGAAGAAATGAAGAAGTACCAGCAGCTGGACAAACAAAGAAGATCACTTGAGTATACCATACTGGACCATGAACTAAATGATACTAGGAACGAATTAGCTTTGGTAAGATTCTACCATTTTTGTTGTGTACGTTTAGTTTCAAGATGCATTTTTCCTGCCATGCAAGTTGGAATATTCAAACTAAAAGAAATGAATGACCATTGCAACAAGTTTGGCAAACAAACCTTTAAAATTTAGCATTTCCTACTCACTGTGATGTCATATTTTTTTGGTTGTGATGGAAGAAACTTTTGAATTAAGGCGTTCCCTCAATGCATCAACCATATTTGCATTATACAAACTGCGATGTGATATGTAAAATTCACTCTTAAAAAAACCAAAGAAAACACAGTATTTATGGCTTCATCAGTAACCACCCACTATACCACTAACCCTACTGCTCTGGATCCGGGCAGCAGTTAAAAAAAAATGTTTGTTTCTTCATTGGTTGGTGAAAACGAGAGTGACAAGAGTTCATTTTTAATCATTATAGCCAATGGATCAATTGTTTTACTGCCTGCTTTGATTCCTCTTGTTGTTAGATGGATGATAACCGAAGAAAAATTTCTGAAAGAATGTCCCATGCGGATAATGAAGTGGTAGATGTACGTGAGAAGATCAGGAGTTTTGAGAAAGAAATAAAATTCTCAACCAAGGGGATAAATGAGAACAAGGCTCAAAAGGAAGATGTAGAGAAGAAGTGTACAGAGGTGCTTAAGGTAGTTGCTCAAATTGAGCTTGATTTGAGAGATATAAAAGATAGAATTTTGAATGAAAAATTGGCAAAGGTATGCCATAGTTCATATTTGATATTTCTCATGATTTTTTTTGTTTTTTTCTTTGCTACACTTAAAAAAAATCTATTTCTAGGATGAAGCTGCGAGGGATTCACAAAGTGTGAGGATGGAGAGTGAAAGGTCAAAGTCTGAATTAGCTGAGACTAGTAAGGTGCATCAAACCAAACTGAGGGAAGAGGAAGAAATATCAAAAAGGTAAAAAATATGTTGATGTATAATCTGGGAGTGGATTCTAAACTCTCGAGAGGACATCCCCTCATTGTTTGCATGTTATCCAAATTGTTATGAAAATATTTGAAAAAATTTATCAAGATAGATATTAATGTGATAGATCACTCCACAAACATGCAAGTTAAAATTCAACTTCTACAAGTTGCAACAAAAAAAAACTATGGCCTGTTAATGTATATTCACAGTCAATTTTTTTTGTTGCAACTTTTAGAAGTTAAATTTGACATTGCATGTTTGTGGAGTGATTTATCACATACTAATCTATCTTTTTCATTTTTTTCAATTTTTTCATAACCATTTAGAGGACATGCAAACAATGAGGGGATGTCCCCTCGAGAGTTTAGAATAATTTCCATGTATAATCTTTTCTTTATGATAGCTCGTTTTGACACTTGCACTTTGTGGGGATAGCATAATGGACCGTCAGAAGCAGTTAAGTATATTGTACCAAAAGCAGGGGAGGGCAACCCAATTTGCAAACAAAGCTGCCAGAGATAAGTGGCTTCAAAAGGAAATTGATGATCTTGAGTGTGTGCTTTTATCAAACCGAAAGCAGGTTATGTTGTATTATATTTTAGCTTGGTTAATACATTATGTATTATGTTAAGCTGTATTTTTTGCTCTCAACTTGACCAGTCATGTGATTTTTTAATCACCCTTCTGCTGTTTGATGAATTTATATCCAACTTACCTGCCTTGCAACTACTCCAGGGAGGTTTACTCCAAGAAGAAATCCAGAAGCTTAAAGACAAAATTAATAACTTGAATAGCTATTTTGAGTTCTACGAAAGTGAATCAAACAAATTAGAGTCCGCACTTGCAAAGAAGCACAGTGATTACAATGACTTGAGGAAGCAGAGAGACAAGCTTCAAGAAGAAAGGAATTACGTATATTTCTTAACAGTCATGGCCTTTTGATTTAATGGAAGATCTATTACTTTATACATTACATACTCTGATAATGAAAAATGTCCTAGATCGTTTTGGATGGAGGAAGCTAATGTGACAGCTGAAAAAGATAGGCTCAAGGAAAATCTTGTGAATGCAAAGGAGAAGCTGGGCAATGCAACACCTGGGGTATGGAAATGCTACATTTTTTTCACACCTTTTTGTTCATATTACTGACTGCTATGGGTATATTTTCTTTGTAAGTAATTCTACATTATAAAAAAAGAAGATATTATCGTTCTATTCTAATAGAAGAATAGTGGTCAAAGTTGCACGCCGAAGACCAAATAAAGTGAACAGTGTCATATATTTAAATATAGTGGCAGTATCAACAAACTTACATAATCATTAAAAAATGATACTACTAGTTTGATTTTTATTTTTGATTGATAATTTGACAAATGTTTGCTTTGTTTATTGTTAAATATTTCTTCTGCTTGGTATGATTGTTCTTGAAAGGATATAGTAGCCCTATAAACATCGAGTTTTGCCAACTATTGCCATATTATATTATTTTTCTGTCAGGAAAATGCTTGAAACTTTATTTGCATGTTGTGATTTTTTTTCCTTCCTCAGGATATCATAAGAGGCTTAAATTGTGTTAGCAGAATTACCATGGAACATGGTATTACAGGAGTTGTTGGTCCTATACTAGAGCTGATTGATTGTGATGAGAAGCTTTTCACTGCTGTTGAGGTCACTGCAGGGAATAGGTCTTGAATTAAATTGCTATTTAATACATCTGACATGATCCAGATTTTTTTTTAACTATTTCACTGTTTCTTTAGTAAATGATGTATTCTATTCTGTTGTGAGTAGCCTGTTCCATGTAGTTGTTGAGAATGACGACATATCAACGAAAATCATTCAAGTATTGACTCGAGAAAAAGGCGGACGGGTGACATTTATTCCACTGAATAGAGTGAAAGTTCCAGATGTTAGTTATCCACGAAGTGACGATTTTGTTCCATTGTTAGAGAGATTAGAATGTAATAAGGCCAATCATCGCCGTGCTTTTGAACAGGTATTAATCCATGGGCCACATCTTTTGCCCTATAACGTATATGACAATGTCAAAATTTAAATTTTAAAAATTAATTTTGGAGTTGATTTTGAGTTTTTTTATCGTAATTTCTTTTTCAACATTGACATTTAATTCGTTAAGAACACATAGGTAAAAGTTTTAACTATAAATTATTTTTTTGTCGCTAATACGCCGATTGACGTATTATCCGTAATTGGCCAACCGATGGTAGCCCACATTTTTCTGTCATGCTCTTTCAATTGACATCTACATATTTTATTGGCTACCTTGGTAAATTTAATTGATGTTTTCGTTCTATCATGCCCTTCATCTGCACTGTCTTACTCATGCTTCAGTTCTGCATGTATACATCTTGCCTTTTGTCTGCTTGGAGGTTTACACCCAGCAACATCAGCTTGGGTTCAGTAGCCATGGCAGACCATCAAATAATGTATTATTTTTTGGCACTGTGTTGTATTAAGTCTATGAATCATACTAACCAGACTAGAGCATACCCTGTATTTTTAGCTGAGACTAATCTTAGAGTAACGGGTTCTTAGGTGGGTCATAAATTCATGATTATGAACATCTATAACTTATGTATTGACATGCATCGCCTATCCTTTCCTTCCCATGCTTTCATACGTGCGTGGGGTCAGAGTGTATGTGTGCATGGAACATTTCTTTACTTTGAGTGCATCTTTTTAGAGTGGTCGTTTCGCTGTTATATGCTTATCTGGGCTAGATTGCATAGCATCTCTTCTGTTGTCATATATTTTACTTTAGTCTAAGTTTTGTATTTCTGTTAGGTTTTTGGCAGGACAGTAATATGCAAAGACCTGGAAACTGCGACCAAAGTTGCACGCGATAACGGGCTAAATTGCATCACGCTTGATGGTAGTTTCAAACTTTTTCACTTGTCATTAGCAGCATTAATTAATGGTGTAATATTAATAAGAGTCGTTATCAGGTGATCAAGTTGCCAGAAAAGGTCATATGACAGGAGGTTTCCATGACTATAGATGCTCAAAACTGAAGTTTGTAAAAACAATTAAGAACAATATGAAGGCAATTGAGGAAAAGGAGGAACATCTAAAGAATGTTGAAAGGAATCTAAGTGATATCCTTTCTCCTTGTTTACATGACGCTGGTATAGAAGATGCTCGTTCTGTCATGACCTGACCTGATGGATAAGGAGTTAACAGTTTACTATTAAATTTAATGTTTCCTGCTTGCACCGTAGCTCATTTGGCCATTACTCTGATGGTTGGAAATAAGCATGCACAATAACCTTCTCCAAAGCATACATAACTTTATTTTTTTAGGGAGTATGCCAAAGCATACAGACTATTATTATGATGGTAAGAAATAAGAATACTGCTGGAGTGCTGGGTCTTCAACATGTTGGGCCAACAAACTAGCAAAATTTAAGTATTAGTCACTGTTAATAGTTGGCAATGAGGATTTGCTGTTGTGACTATGACATATGGGACCAGAAGCCACATGTTTGTGAGGGAGGATGGCAAGGCGTCCCTCATGTTTGTTTGCTTTGTTTGGTTTCAAGTTCAAAGTAGTTTGGATATGTGATTGAAACATTAAAAGCCTCTTGCTGAGACAGCTGAGTTGCTGATTACTACTACTACTTATGTGCAAGACAAAATTTATATCTTTGAATTTTCTCTCCTTAACTTTCCATACATATAGATAAGAAAATGACAGATTTAGTTACCAAACAGCAGCAAATGGATGCTGAAAGTGATCATGCAAAATCAGAGTTGGAACACTTTAAGGTTGGCATTGCTAGCACTATGAAGCAAATAGGATCACTTGAGAAGGCACTAGGAAAGAAGGTGGTTCTCCTTTTCTTTTACTGCAGTTCATGGGAGATCCACTGTCTTGATATTCAATATGAAAGTTGTGTATAAAATGTCTATTTTGCTATACTCCTGCAACTCTATCTAATAGCTTCTACCTTGCAGGAAAAATCTCTCGACAACATCCAGAACCAAATTGTGCAAATCCAATCTGGCATTGCAATGAAATATAATGAAATGGGAACTGAAATTATTGACCAATTAACTTCAGAAGAAAGAGATCTTCTTTTGCAATTGAACACTGAATTAACTGAACTAAAGGGGAAGTTTGTCTTATGTAGAAACAGACGCATTGAGGTTGTTCAAGAAAATTAGCAACCATCTTTTTTCCCCTGAAGATTCTCTCTGTTCTAATGCAGTTACAATTTTTTATGTAGATAGAAACAAGGAAAGAAGAATTGAAAGCTAATCTATCAACTAATCTCATGAGGCGCCAGAAAGAGTTTGAAGCAGTAATTTCATCCGCAGATTCTAAAACCTTGTCTCTTGAAGCTGAATCAAAAGAGCAAGAATTAAATAGCTCTAAGAGCAGTCTTGATGATTTGACTGCGATGCTGAAAGGTATAGACGCACTGATAGACTTTTAGTTCCCTTCTGCATTATGCTTAATGCTTCCTAAGGGGCCAAGTGTTAAGCTAACTCAAATGATCTTTTTGGTAGCTAATGTCGATGCTATCAATAACTTTACGATAAAGATAGAGGAACTGAAAAGACAAAGGGATAATCTGAAGGTAAGTTGAATATAGCTATATGGACGTATTTTTGAAAGAACTCACGTTGACTTGTGTAACGGTTTATCTTTGAATACAGACACTTGAAGCTAACCTGGACCAGACTGTGCGAGATGGTGCCAAGGATTTGGAACAGCTCATGAGCAGCAGGAGCATGCATTTAGCTAAGCAAGAAGAGTGTATGAAGAAGATCCGAGACTTGGGCCCATTTGTAGAGAATTGGATTAGGGGGCAATTGGCCACGCCTCAATGGGAGGGGGCGCCTTCTGTTATATAGGGCCGGCTGGCCTGCTGTACAAGGCAAGGATAATTCCCTTGATTTACATCTGCTATCTATAGTAGCTAATCCCTGATTTACATCTGCTATCTATAGCAGCTGGGATATCCACAGACGGCATATTCTATTGCCTAACACCCGCCCGCAGTCGCAGCGGGAGGCTCCCGGACGCAAAGGCTGGATCGAAATTCTCGAAAGAGTGCTGTCGGAAGCCCTTTAGTCATGATGTCGGCGAACTGGTGAGAGGAGGGCACATGGAGAACCCGAATCTCACCAAGGGCCACCTTTTCGCGAACGAAGTGAATGTCGATCTCGATGTGCTTCGTTCGCTTGTGGTGGACGGGGTTGGTCGTCATGTAGACGGCGCTGACATTGTCGCAGAAGACAACGGTGGCGGAGGGCAGCTGGATGTGGAGCTCCTGGAGTAACTGTCGAAGCCAGCAGCACTCAGCCACAACGTGAGCCACAGCCCGATACTCTGCCTCGGCGCTGGAGCGGGACACCGTGGTCTGGCGCTTGGAAGACCAGGAAACCAGAGTGTCGCCGAGATAGACGCAGAAGCCGGAGGTGGATCGTCGAGAGTCTGGGCATCCTGCCCAGTCAGCATCAGAGTAGGCAGTCAGTTTGTCGACAGACCCGGTGCCAATGTGAAGACCCGAGGAGAGAGTCCCCTGGACGAAGCGTAGGATGCGCTTGATGAGCGCACGGTGAGGCTCGCGTGGGGCGTGCATGAAGAGGCACACTTGTTGAACAGCGTATGCCAGATCAGGACGAGTCAGCGTCAGGTACTGGAGAGCTCCCGCCAAGCTCCTGTACTCAGATGCATCCTTTTCTGACAGTAGATCCCAGTCGGTCGCGGATAGCTTGGCGTGAGTGTCAACAGGTGTCGATGTCGGATGACACTCAGCCATGCCCGCGCGCTGGAGAAGCTCGACGGCGTACTGTCGCTGGGAGAGGAAGAGACCATCGGAGGAGCGCGTGACAGCGATGCCGAGGAAGTGGTGAAGAGCGCCAAGGTCTGTCATGGCGAACTCGGAGCTCAGCCGAGTCATGATGCGCTGTAGGAGGGCCGAGGACGAGGCGGTGAGAACGATGTCGTCGACGTACAGCAGTAGGTAGGCGAGACTCATCCCCTCTCGTAAAATGAAAAGGGACGTGTCGGAGGTGGAGGCGACGAAGCCAAGCTTCCGGACGAAGGTGGCGAAGCGCTGGTACCAGGCCCGCGGAGCCTGCTTCAGTCCATACAAGGACTTCTGCAGTCGGCAGACATGCTCTGGGGCGCCAGGGTCGATGAATCCTGGCGGCTGCTGGCAGTAGACGGTCTCCTCGAGGTGGCCGTGAAGAAAGGCGTTCTTCACGTCCAGCTGGTGAATGGGCCAGGCGCGGGACGCGGCGATGGTGAGTACAGACCGAATGGTGGCCGGTTTGACAACCGGGCTGAAGGTCTCGTCGTAGTCGACGCCCTCGCGCTGGGAGAAGCCGCGGACAACCCAGCGAGCCTTGTGGCGGGCGAGGGACCCATCGGCATGAAACTTGTGCCGGAAGATCCACTTCCCCATCACGACGTTGGCTCCAGGGGGCCGCGGAACGAGCTGCCAGGTGTTGTTGTCGACGAGGGCCTGGTACTCATCCATCATCGCGGCACGCCAGTTGGCGTCGGCCAGGGCACTGCGGTAGTTCGTCGGTACTGGCGACGGTGAGGATGACGTTGTGGCCGCCAACCCTTTATAGCTGACGCGAGGAATGACACCCGTCATGGTGCGAGTGGCGCGCGGCGGTGGCGGCGGTGGCGGTGCCGGAACGGGGAATGCCGCCGGTGCTGGTGTGGGCGTCGTAGGTGGCGCCGGGGCGTCAGGAGCCACAGGGGCTGCTGGGGCAGTTGCCGGCTCGGACGTAGACGCCGTACGGGAGCGGCGGACGTAGACTCGTGGGAAGGGGACCACGCTGGGTCCAGGCGGGGGCACGGGACCGCGCCCGCCCGGTGTCGAAGAAGGCGATCCGTGTGAGGCCGCAGCATCTGAGGGCGGCTGCTCAACATCCGAGTGGGATGGAGCGACCACGGGCGTCGAGGATGGAAGCCCACCTGCAACAACAGTAGGACAAGGCACCGAAACCATATCGTCGTCGAGGAGGAAGTCTAGGGAAGCGGAGGAGGGTGAGGCGGCTAAGGTGGCTGAAAAGGGAAAGGTGGTTTCGTCAAATGTAACGTGGCGAGAGATGATGATGCGACGGGTCGATAGGTCAAGGCAGCGGTAACCTTTGTGCGAGGGGGGATATCCGAGGAAGACGCATGCCGTGGAGCGAGGGGCGAGCTTATGTTTGGAGGTTGCTTGCATGTTGGGGTAACAGAGGCACCCAAAAACACGCAGATGGCTATAGGTTGGCGGCTGGTTGTGCAGACGAGTGTAGGGAATTTCATGCTGAATGGAGGAGGATGGGTGCCTATTATGGAGGTAGCAGGCGGTCATGAGCCCCTCGGCCCAATATGTGGGTGGCAGGGAGGCATGGAGGAGCATGGTACGAATGGAATTGTTGAGTGTGCGGATGATGCGTTCAGCCTTGCCATTTTGGGGTGATGTGTAGGGGCAGGAGAGGCGAAGGTGAGTACCTTGAGCAGCGAGGAATTTGATGGTGGCGGTGTTTACGAATTCAGTGCCGTTATCAGCCTGAAAACTTTTGACGGGGAGGCTGAATTGTGTTTTGGCAAAGGCAGCAAACTCAACTAAGTGTTGGTGGGCATCAGATTTTTTTCGGAGCGGAAAAACCCAACAGTAGTGAGTGAAATCATCCAAACAGACCAGGTAATAGGAAAAACCAGACAGACTATTGATGGGGGAAGTCCATACATCACAGTGAACAAGTTCAAAGGGTGCATGAGTTATGGAATGCGAAGAACTGAAGGGTAGATGCGTATGCTTGCCTATCTGACATGAGTGACATAGCGAGTGGTCTACTTTATGACAGGAAACAGCATGAAGTTTATTAAGACGCTCTAATGCGGCGGGGGCTGGATGACCGAGACGTTGATGCCACAGAGTCGACGAAGCAGCCAGGAGAGCATGAGGTGGGGCGCCAGGTGTGGAGGGAGGCATGGTGTATAGGTCCCCGTCGCAGTTACAGCGGAGAATCACGCGTCCCGTCCTGAGATCCTTAACAGAAAAACCATGGGCGTCAAATTCAAAGGAACAACTATTGTCGCAAGTGAATTGGCGAACGGATAACAGGTTGCGGACTATGGATGGTGCGACAAGAATATTATTAAGAGCGAAATTTGTGGTAGGTGTAGGAAGGATGGAATGACCTCTAGACGTAACAGGAATACTAGTGCCATTACCTACTGTTATTGAGGAGATGGAGGGGGGAAGGCGTTGGGTAAGCATACCATCCGAGGACGTCATGTGCGTAGAGGCGCCGGAGTCAACGACCCAGGGCGAGTTGCCATGCAGTTGCATGTTCTGCAGGGCAGCGATGAGGCCGGCTGCATCCCAGGTGCTGGTGGAGGTGTTGGAGCCGCTGGAGGACGCCTGGAGTGGAGCAAAGGCGGTGTGGGCCTGCGGGGAAGGCCCGAGGATGCCCTGGTTGCGCCCAGCCGGGGCACCAGGACCTCCAGGGGCGCCAGAACCTCCCTTGCGGCGCTGTCCAGGGGGGGTGACGCGCTCTCCAGGGGCCACACGTTCGCCGGTCCAGGGATTGAAGCCCCAGGGAATGCGTTTGTTGGTGCCGGGGCTGCCGGAGTTGTTGGAGAAGCCGCCGGAGGAGTTTGGGAAGGGCTGTTGGGCGCCCTTTTTGGTGTTAGGGCGCCGGCCACCCTGCTGCTGCGGCTGCTGGAAACCGCCATTAGAGGAGGCAGCAGCCAGGAGGGCGGCGGCAGCACGCGTCTTCTCGTCGTTTTGCAGCCGCAGCTCCTTGAGGAGGAGCTGATGGCGTGCGGTGGCGAGGGTGAGGGGCTGCTGTCCGGCGATGTTGTCGGCGACGCCGGAGTAGACCTCGTTGAGTCCGCGCAGGAGGTTGAGGACGAGGTTGGGCTCAGATACGGGCTGCCCGACGTCGCGCAGTTCGTCGGCCTTCTCCTTCATGCGAATGCAGTAGGCGTCAATGGACAGGTCCCCCTGAGTCATCGAGTGAAACTCGTGATTCAGGAAGATGGCGCGAGGAGCTTTGTTTGCCTGGAACACCCCGCCGATGGCCGTCCAAAGAACGCTCGCTGTCTGCGTGTCGTCGGTCATGGCAAGGTTGAGGACGGCGTCGGAGACGGTGCTGTACATCCATCCGCGGACGCAGAAGTCAGCCTGTTTCCAGGCCTCGTCGGTGGGGCGCGAGGTGGAGGCGGTGGCGAGATGATGCAGCAGCCCGAACTTCCCACACGTGGCCTGGAACGCTGTTGACCACTTGGTGAAGTTGGAGGGCTTCAACTCGAGGGTCATGGGGACGTGGAGCTTGATGTTGATGGTGGCGAAGGGGCAGATCACAGGGGCAGAATCGGCCCCAAGGGCGCCGCTAGTGGCAGAGAGGAGGTCCGATTGGGTTCCCATGGGGAGGGAGGGAGGAAGGGGGCGGCGCTGGAGGAGAGGATCTCGAGGTTAGATGGGGATCGGGACCCGGAGCTCTGATACCATGTAGAGAATTGGATTAGGGGGCAATTGGCCACACCTCAATGGGAGGGGGCGCCTTCTGTTATATAGGGCCGGCTGGCCTGCTGTACAAGGCAAGGATAATTCCCTTGATTTACATCTGCTATCTATAGTAGCTAATCCCTGATTTACATCTGCTATCTATAGCAGCTGGGATATCCACAGACGGCATATTCTATTGCCTAACACCATTGCCTACTGACGCTTTTGAGACGTATTGCATTTTTCATGGCTACCTAGTTTTGTTTCCATATAAATGAGTGAACTGGCTGAACAGTCCAGAATGCATACCAATCCTATTTGTATGGCCAATGCTACAGGTACAGACAGAAAAATAAGAGGCAGCTGCAGAAGATGCTTTACGACTGCAATGAACAGTTGCAGCAGTTCAGACATGTTAAGAAAAAACCTCTTGACTGTGTGAACTTCACAGAACAACGTGAACAACTAGAGAGAAGAAGGGCTGAACTTGATGCTGGTGATCAGGTGAAATTTTCCCCTGGTACAGCTGCCTTTTGTTTCGCTTGAATCCTAAACACTGTATCTCATAAAAAATGCAGAAAATCAGGGAACTCGTGTCAATTTTAGACCAAAGGAAGGATGAATCAATTGAACGTACATTTAAGGGAGTTGCGAGGCACTTCCGAGAAGTATTTTCTGAACTAGTGCAAGGTGGCCATGGACATTTGGTTATGATGAAGAAAAAAGTATATTTTCCTTGCTTTCCGACTGATCTTGCTTCCATGGCATGCACTTTTAGGCTTTTAGCCCTATTACCCAGTAATGTGCTTTTAGTTGTGCTAAATTCACAATTCACCTTCACTGGGTTTACTTGGATTTCATCTATAGCCTACCACAATTTTCTGGGGACTAAAAGCTGATATTGTTGTCACCTTCATTGGCTAACCTATGCTATCTCACCTATTTCCATGAATTGGCATTACTCCGGTCTTATATTTTGTTTTGAAAATCTGGGTTATTCTTCAATGCAAAGCTAGCGCCAAGTTTGAATACAGTGCAAATCGACACATTTTAGAATTTCCAACTTTGGGTGTGTTTAGTTCACGCCAAAATTGGAAGTTTGGTTGAAATTGGAACGATGTGACGGAAAAGTTGGAAGTTTATGTGTGTAGGAAAGTTTTGATGTGATGGAAAAGTTGGAAGTTTAAAGAAAAAGTTTGGAACTAAACAAGGGCTTTGTTTTATTGCCTTTGCCTGGAGTTCTCTTAAAGTTCCTTCCATGCGTGCTATTTCGAAAGTGATATCTCTTCTTGAAAGTTAATGCTTATGCTTTTCTTTCTGGTAGGATGGTGATGCAGGCGACGAGGATATTGATAATGACGAGGATGGGCCTCGTGAACCAGATTCTGAAGATAGAATGGAGAAGTACATTGGTGTAAAAGTCAAGGCATGTCCTATTTGCATATGCTTTTTTACGTATCTGCGCTTGTATACTATTCATTCAACCAAAAAAATCAAGTGATGTTAGATAATGCTGGCGAGTTGTTATATTCCTTCTGAATTATATTATGTATAAAATATTTCCTGAAGTTTCTAAGAGAGGTACTCGAGTTTCAGGTTTCCTTTACTGGCCAGGGTGAAACCCAATCTATGAAACAATTGTCTGGTGGGCAGAAGACAGTGGTGGCATTGACACTGATTTTTGCCATCCAGCGTTGTGATCCAGCTCCGTTCTATCTTTTCGATGAGATTGATGCTGCTCTGGATACACAGTACAGAACTGCTGTTGGCAGTATCCTTTGTATTTCTTCCCTCTATCTCTCTCGTGCCCGTTACAAAAGAATCTTTGAACATTACAAGCATAATTTTACATCTGTTTTCCTTAAGCTATGTTTCAGATATGATCCGCCGTCTTTCGGACATGGCTGACACTCAATTTATAGCGACAACATTCAGACCGGAAATTGTAAAAGTTGCTGATAAAATCTATGGTGTGACATACAAGAACAGGGTGAGCTACATCAATGTGGTGTCAAAGGAGCAGGCTCTGGATTTCATTGGGCATGACCAGACACAGAATGCTATTTGAGACCAAATATGCTTGTGCCAATGGTTTGCTTCTCTTGACACTCAAGCCTGACAACATCATCTTAGTTGCAATTTTACGCTACCAACATACATTGTTTCTTTTTTCCGTGGAGAAGGCTGATGCATGTCTCGCTTTGGCTGGATGTCTTATTTACATGGTTGGACAGTTGGACTAGTTGTGAATATGCAGTTTTTGGATTTGTTCTCAGCTGATGGATAGATAATGTTAAGCTTTCAGAGCCATTGTTTGCTTTCTGGCTTATCGACCATAGCCAAAATTTTAATTTAAAATGTTAATTTTAGAGTTAATTTTTTGAATTTTTTACCATTATTTTATTTTCAGCATTGACTTTCAAGTCACTAAGAAGAGCAACATTTTTTGGTGTCACATGTATTCAGTGGCGCATGCATCTATTATTTATGACGTGTTGTTGTTACATTTCTGTTTATCCCTATATCAACAGCGAAACTATGACTATTACCACCAATGGAAATTTATTATCTAGGATAACTGTGTAGAGTAGTTATGTTTTCTGTTTTGTTTTGTGGTTTTGCAGAAGAACTACAAATAATTTGACACACCTCAAGCTATGGCATGAGGCAAATAATTTGATAATTGTAAGCAACACGCAACAAACTTAAAGTTCTAACATAGATCCGCCTTTTGGATTCACCTGAAAATGTTCTTACAATGTAACGACTATAAATGACTAAATAAAAACACGAAGAAAAAACACTCGGTATGCTATTTGATGATATATAAAGAGCACAAAGTCAATACGGTCTCACCTAATTAACCATCTTTCACTAACTTAGTCTAGTGCATCTAGTATGTTGCATAACATGTCAGTTTTTGTCGCTGTACCATCCCAACTTTGCCGACGAAGAACAAAAATAGTCAGCATCATACAATCAAGAAACACGAAGGCTAACAACGAAAGGTATACTAGTTCATATGGTTTTTTCTCTACTATTTTAAAAGCCGAGTTATCCTCCTTCCATCCTAAGTAATGTATCTAGCCCGTTGCGATGCACGGATATATTACTATCACTAGTAATATGTTAGTGCGAACGCTACAGTGCAATTATTTTTATTTTTTATTTTTTGAAATTTCATGTTAGGAAAAGCTATTTCCTATGATTTGTGCAATAGAGAAATTTGATTCATATCATATATCAAATATATTTCACGCAAAGCACAATGATATAATATTGTATAGAAATAATAACTATTGACCACCATTAATTATACATAACCACTTTAGTATACAAGTACTGCAACCGTGGCACCTGAACACAGGCTTGTTGGGCCTCGTCTACCCATCCGGCCCAGTCAATGTCGCAGGGGCCGCGGGAGAGAAGGCCCAATCGTGCGCCACGCGTCGTACGCGCGTGGGCTTCTTTCCTCTGGGCCATCCCCCGCACGCACACGCTTCGTCGTCGGATCGGGACGCCTTGCTGCCTCTGCCGCGTCTCCCCCCCTCTCTCTCTCTCTCTCTCTCTCGCTCCTCGGCTAGCTACTCCACTGCTCCCCTAGCTCGCGCTCGCGCTCGCCCTCGCAGCGGAGTGGAGTGCGTCGTCGTCGTCGTCTCTCTCTCCCCCCATTTCGTCGAGGTAAATTCCTCTTCCCCTCTCCCTCGGCGGAGTCGGGGGTTCTCGGGGTGCTCGCGCGCGCGCGGTAGTAGCCTCGCGCGCGATTCTAGGGTTTCTCCGTCTTTTCCCCCCGATTCCTGCGCTCTCGTGTCGTGTGCTGCTAGGGTTTGTAGGGTGGTTCGCTCGGTGGGTGGTGGTGGTTCTGTGAGCCCGCGGGGTTGGGGTTGGGGCCTGGGGGGTAGGGTTTGTTCGTTTCGAGGTATGATTCTCAGCGCGGTGGACTTCGTTTCGGCTCGTGAGTCGTGAGTGAGGTACGAGAGGGCGCAGGAGTGAAGTGGGATGGGCTCGTGGTTTAGTTCGTGTCGATTTGACTGTGCGTGTCTCTTATGGAGTTTTGATTTGTGTGCTGGTGACTCATTTGACCTTCCTTTTGTAGGATTTCATGGTGGATTGAGCTCACCCTGTCTCAACCATGTATATAAAGAAAGTAAGTTCTGCTACCAAGCGAGTAGCTCAGTGCTGGCTTTGATGGTATATATGGTTTGCGCCGACTCAGAAGCTGTCTGTCTGCGCAGGTTGTGATAGAAGGATTTAAGAGCTACAGGGAGGAGATCTCAACAGAACCTTTCAGCCCCAAAGTTAATGTAGTTGGTAATTTCCACTTCCCCTTTTGACTAGCATGACTAGAGGGTAGTAAAAGTTTGGTGTGTTTTACTTTGTCATCTTGTGCGTGTTAGTTTAAAGTGCTGTGCGGCTTGTCCTGCAGTTACCTGCACTTACCTTGTCTGCGTGGAGTTGCAGGGGAGTGAATTGCGATATCTGATGAATATAGTAATCCTGGCAGATTTTAATTTTATATGAACTAACGCAACTTCGCATGTTTATTACAGTTGGGGCAAATGGATCTGGCAAATCAAATTTCTTCCATGGTAATATGTTTTTAGATATGTGGTGCTGCTAGCTAGGTTATTGTTGTTATGCTGCCTTATATGATACTTTTCTCCTCACTCGGTCATTATAATCCTCCAGCTATACGGTTTGTCCTCAGTGACATGTTTCAAAACCTGCGCAGTGAAGACAGGGGCGCTCTTCTTCATGTACGCATCCTCCCTCTCTCTGAGTGATCTTGATAGATAGTTTAAACTTGAAACATGTGTTTGTTATGTGACAATAATAACCATTTCAGGAAGGTGCTGGTCACTCGGTTGTCTCGGCTTTTGTTGAGATAGTGTTTGATAATTCAGACAACCGTATTCCAGTAAGTCCTTTAACTCGTTAATCTTTAATTCATTTTAATTCAATTATCTAGCCACTCTCGAGCTGCATATTCTTTTTATGAAAAATACATCAACTCTTAGATCTTCCATATGAACATATGTCGTGGTCTGAATTCATGAAGGGTAGATACTGCCAGAGGATAGCTGGGCAGCATCACTTTTATAGGGATGGCACGACCTGATCCCTACTAAATCGTTTTCATATCTAATGGATAGGGTATATATCTATAAAGAGGGAAACCCAACTAATTGGGAACTAATAATTCCCTGCCTAACTGCCTCATGTGTCTGGTTGAGGATCCCACTCCCCGTGTCCCCCACATGCGCCATGGCCCTTGGCCTCATGCCCATGACAGTGCATGCATGTAGTATTGGGCCTGCGTGGGTTGCTTTTTAGGTGATCATGCAAGGTACTAGTCAACAGTGAGCTAATTATTTATCAGCATATTTCAGAGTTAACTGTGTGTTAGGTGCTTTCTTCTTTGGTTAACTTTGTATGGCATGTTAGTCGTAAATCTGATTGTAAGCCAAAAAAAATACTTTGCTGCAGGTTGACAAAGAGGAGGTACGCCTGCGCAGGACAGTTGCTTCAAAGAAGGATGAATACTACTTGGATGGGAAGCATGTTAGGTATTTCATACATCCCTAAACAGGACCAACCATGTTACATCGGCATTGCTTGCTCACACCCACTTTTAATTATATGTTGTTCAGTAAAACTGAAGTCATGAATCTGCTAGAGAGTGCTGGATTTTCTCGCTCTAATCCATACTACGTTGTCCAGCAGGGAAAGGTAATAATTATTCACCTTATTGTTCCCATGATCTGTTCGGCCATAATGTAATGAAAATTGTTATTTGTAGATTGCATCCCTTACCCTAATGAAAGATTCCGAACGGCTGGATCTCCTCAAAGAGATCGGTGGTACGCGCGTTTATGAAGATAGACGACGCGAGAGTTTGAAAATCATGCAGGAAACAGGCAAGTTTAAGTTATCGTAAATTTTTATATATTTCTAGGGGAGACCTCTTGTGAGTGGACATTCATTCATGCATTATTAACAGCCAACAAAAGAAAGCAGATTGATCAAGTTGTCCACTACTTGGAGGAAAGGTTGAGAGAACTTGATGAAGAGAAAGAAGAACTGAAGAAGTACCAGCAGCTGGACAAACAAAGAAGATCACTTGAGTATACCATACTGGACCATGAACTAAATGAGGCTAGGAACGAATTAGCTTCGGTATGATTTACCATTTTTTGTTGTGTATGCTTACTTTCTGGATACATTTTTCCTGCCATGCTAGTTGGATTAGTTCAACTAAAAAAAAAAAGAACAAGGGCCTTTGGACAAGTTTGCAGAACAAACCATTAAGTTTAGCATTTCGTATTGAAGTCAAAGTATTATTTTTTGGTGTTCTTCTGTCCTGATGGAAAATAACTTTTGAATTAAGGTCCTCCCTCAATGCAACCACCATATTTACATTATAGGAACTGCATTGAGATATGGAATTTTGCTCTTCCGCATCAGACAAAAAAATCACATTATTTACGGCTTAATCTGTAATTACCCGCTGTACCACTAACACTACTACTCAGTACCTGTGCAGCAGTTAAAAAGTTATTTATTTCTTCATCAGTTGGTGAAAATGAGAGAACGATGAGCTCATGTTTCATCTTTATATTGAATGGTCCAATTGTTTTACTGCCTGCTTTGATTTCTCCTATTGTTAGATGGATGATAACCGAAGAAAAATTTCTGAAAGAATGTCCCATGCGGATAATGAAGTGGTAGATGTACGTGAGAAGGTGAAGACTTTTGACAAAGAAATAAAATACTCAACTAAGGGGATAAATGATACCAAGGCTCAAAAGGAAGGTGTAGAGAAGAAGCGTACAGAAGCACTGAAGGTAGTTGCTCAGATTGAGCTTGATTTGAGAGACATAAAAGACAGAATCTTGAACGAGAAACGGGCAAAGGTATGTTATGGTTCATATTTGATATTTCTCATGAACTTTTTGCTAATTCAGTTTGATTGCCAAACTTAAAAGAATCTACTGCTAGGATGAAGCTGCGAAGGATTTACAAAGCGTGAGGATGGAGAGTGAAAAGTCAAAGTCCGAATTAGCTGAAATTAGTAAGGTGCATCAAGCCAAATTAAAGGAAGAGGAAGAAATATCAAAAAGGTAAAAATATGTTTTTGATTAATTTTATTATGTTTTTATGTTTACTCCGTTTGACGTTTTCATTTTGTGGGGATAGCATAATGGACCGTGAGAAGCGGTTAAGTATATTGTACCAAAAGCAGGGGAGGGCAACCCAATTCGCAAACAAAGCTGCCAGAGATAAGTGGCTTCAAAAGGAAATTGATGATCTTGAGCGTGTGCTTTTATCAAATCGAAAGCAGGTAAGAGATAAGAGTTTATTTCAGTGGCCAGTTTGATTCTTGCAATTTTATATTGACATTCTGGACCTCTGTTTTCATTTACTATTTTATATT